CAAAAGACTCATGATTTTCCATATGCATAACATATAGATGAGTCAATTTCCTGTAAAGGGCATTCCATGAAAACAATCCTCCTGTTAGGCTGATAGTTTTCCTGTGCCCTGCAATAAAGTATTAAAAATAGCCACCCTTATAATAAAAAATATGACATTTTATTTAAACTTCAGTTTTAAATTAAATATCAAATCAGTTCTCCATTTGTCTTCTCAATTATTATCCTTTTTTTAATTTTTATTATTCCTAATATATGCAAAATAAAACTTTGTCTATTCAGGCTGCATTAAGTAACATCTAGAACAAGGTATGATGAAACTTTCATAGTGAGCTACTAGTTCACCACATTCTTAATAGCTCCTGTAAAAATACTTTCATTTTGAGCTAATATTAAAAATCAACATAATGAATATATGGTTATATAATAAATTAAAATCATAATTCGCAAGTCCCGTGAAGAAAAACGAAGCAGCAATACATTGCCTTAAAACTGAATCTATTTGAATTGTTACTTTGACAGAAATTTTTATTTTTGACATTTTCAAAGCATTCATCATTCTAGCATAATCTCTAAATTGTTATAAAATGACTTAAATAAGCATTGTATAGTTCTAATTTATTTCATAAAATCACAAAAATGCTTTAAATAGGTAGGTAGTTATTAAATAACTTAATATTTTAGAATATTGCACATGTTTTATTGAGTTCAATAATAATCATATGAATGCCTAATAATACCATACAAAATACTGTTATTTGTGATGTACTGTTATGTGGAATATTTTATGCAAAGAAGAGTGAAACATTTTTATTTTTGCATAAAACAGAGCATTTTAACCTGCTATCGCAGAAATGACCTATTAGTTGTGGAGGGTTAGATGTAATTTGTAAGAAGGAGTGTTGGGGAGGATAAAGAATAATGAGATGCGGGTTGATGGAGCAATGGTTTACTGACAATATGGCAAGGAATTTTTGGACTAAAATGTATGATCACAGGAAATTTTAATGGAAAAAGTGTATGAATGGAATGGAATATAAAAACAAAGCAAGAAAACTCCAACACATTCTGAGTAAGACTCCCTGCCCATATAAATCTAGCTGGGTACTTTTCCAGTTTGCCGGCGCAGACAATAAATTTGTCAAAAATTGCCAAATGGATTTTAGATGCCAAATGGAATTTCCTCGCCGGTCACTTTTTACGCTTGATTTTCAAAACAAGTAACAGGAATTTCTTATCGGATTGATTGTTTCTTTCAATACTGGCATAAAATTACATAGAATTTTTAAAAGATAGTTTAATTTTATGCCCTAAGTGATAGAAATTACTTTCAACATGTTAGGCTTAGCTTTGCTGGCGCTGTGGATGTTGCTTCTTGTTCTTTCGGAAAAATCAAAATTTCTTTGTTTCTGCTAAATAAACTTCTTTAGAGTATATCGGGCTGATAACATGATAGAAATTACTTAAATGGCAGATATATATTGAAAATATAGTAGAAAAAAATAAGCAAACCACAAATGCCCGTTACATGTTTAGTTAGCCAAGTAAATAAACATGTAATGTGCATTTGTGTTTTGCTTATTTCTTTCTACTATATTTTCAAAATATATCTGCCACTTACATAATTTCTATCATTAAGGGCTTTTGCAGTAATTAAGTCAATTAGGATGCAATCACACGGCTCACCCGATGGCAAAAATATAGAAAAAGTGAAGTCAAGGGTTAAATTCATCAATTCTAATGAAAATGCTCTAGTGAAGTAAAGCATTGCAGTTTTACATAATTTCTGAGTACGCTATTCGTACGAATTAAAATAATTCTAGTATTTAAATTTGTATTCCATAATATTTAATTTAAGATTTAACTTGAAATTAATGTAGATAATTACTGACAGAATTAGATTTTTCTAGCGTGGTTTACGTGAGATGAGATCACTTGGGGTCATGTGATATGAATCGGTGAAACAGGATGTTGAACCATGAGACCATAGTAAATTCTTAAATATTAATGTGTTTTTACAAATTTATTGTCTTTTATTTATTTATTGTCTTTTTACAAAATTTTAAATGATATTAAATAAAATTATTTTATCTAAAAAATTCAGAAGTACGAGAGCAGGGCTCCAGTGCAATTTAAGCTCTGGTTGAATCCATGTCAAAAGAGCATGAAAAGTGTAATTTTAGCTACAGATTATTCAAAGAAAATGACCCATTCTTTCATGTTTTTTTTTTTATTAAATATATCAGTTATCAAAAACCTGTTTGTTCAAAGTGTTTGATTATTAGTGTGAATTAATTTTCAGAATGTTCTGAACAAATTACTTTTCTTACCAAAAACATTTTGAATAACTTTTTTCAAAACCAGCAGAATTTAAAAAAGGGGGGGATAAAAAGTATATGTGAAAGAAAAATAAAGTCACGTAGCTACAATTTGATAACTGATATTTGCAAATAAAACTGAAAAATATAAATGGACAAAAACAAATGTGAGCTATTATACTAGAATATTTATTTGTGAAAGACACTTTAATTCAAGCATTCATATGGAAATGCATTATTAATGATGAGAAAATGCATTTAATTTTGCCCCAGAATATTAAAATTGACAAATAATTTTCTGAAGAAATATTGCCCGTATTGCTATTCCTTCTTCCAAAGATTCAGTGCATGATTCATAATGCAGTGTATTTCACCTGAGTGAGGTTTGCATGAACTAAAGGCACAAAATATGTTTGGTATTTATATATCATTCCATGCACCACGAAAATTTACTACCATCGAACCATGAAAATTAGCTGATTTCTTGTCAAAACTGTGGCAGTCTTTCCTGTGAAATTCTCTGAACTGGCATCTCTTTATTGAATAAACAATCAGTATTCACCCGCTTTGTAAAAAAGGTTGGTTAACATTAAGCTACTCCTCATATTATCGCGAAGTTGTTGTTTCATTTATTGCCAAGTTGTTGTATCATTTATGGTAAGCTGAGTAGTTGAATGTTATGGAAACTATTATGACATAATCGTTTACATTATTCCGGGAAATTTTGAATCATGTGATATTTTGCAAGGGCTTTTGTGGTGTGCGTTGCTTAGAAGTACATTGCTTGTTTCATTGTTTAGACGGTACAATGGCTGAATGTAGTAGAATTAATTTGAAGTTTCTGTACGATTTGGAACGAAAGGGGAAAAGTGCATTAATTGACTGGTGTGTAAATGAAGGTTTACTTAGTAGCCATTTTCCGAACAGTCCGGAACTACGTTTTTGACTCTTATTTTTATGAATTTATGTGGTGGTATCCGATATACGGATTGTAGTTCAGATAATTTTAGGAAGTTTTTGGATGCTGTTAAGGAATTTTGTGTGAAACAGAATGAAGACGAACCAATTTCTAAATAAGGTAAGTGGTTATTTGCTTTATGTAGTGCTAAAATATATAACAGGTTTTTCCTTTTTTATGTTATTTTATTGTTGGTTAAAAATGTAGCTTATTGAGATTATGTATTTTTTGTTTGCCCCTACTGTAGAATTGGGTTGTACTCTGACATTTTAAGTGAAAATATATCGATGTGTACATGTACAAACTCAAGGGAGTGCATAAGGCATAGTTTGTGCAATTCTTTGATTTTTTTTAAAGTGAAAATAGGTCGATGTGTACATGGATAAAGTCAAGGGAGTAGGCAATGCCATTTTTGTGCAATTCTGGGATTTTTTTTTAAGTGAAAATAGGTCGATGTGTGCATGGATACCGAGTTTGTGCAATTTTTTGTCTTGTTATTTTGTCTTTGTGTAACAGCGATTTAGCCTAGTTTGTGCAATTCTCCGACTTTTTTTTTAAGTGAAAATAGGTTGATATGTACATGGATAAAGCCAAGGGAGTGCCGAATGCCATTTTTGTGCAATTCTGGGATTTTTTTTAAGTGAAATTAGGTCGATGTGTACATGGATACTGAGTTTGTGCAATTCTTTGTCTTGTTATTTTGGCTTTGTGTAGCAGCGCTACACAAAGTCAAAATAACAAGTCAAAGAATTGCACAAACTCGGTATCCATGTACCACCAAAAATCGCCAAGTTTTGCCAAGGGGTACCCTAAAATATACTTTTACCAAGAGGTTTCATCGATTTTTAACATTTTATTACGTTCTCCAATTTTACTGAACACTCCGTTAAAAACTATGAATACAAACTTCCTATACATAATTGTTCCAATCTATCACAGTTTTGTCAGCCAAATTCAGTTGACAATATTATGTTTATTAATTAACATATTTTTTATGGTAGGATGTCAAAACTTCAATCCACTGCTTGCTGTTCTGTAGCAGACAGGTCTCAAATTTCAACCATTCTGTTTCTTAAAAAAAAAAAAAAAAAAAAAAAAAAAAAAAAAAGCAATAACAATTAATTTATATATTTGTTCATAATAACAAAAAGTGGCTTATTGAGAATCAATCAGGCTTACAACAAATTAAAGCACAATGTTACAAGTGTGTTGTTATGTCACATTTATCCATAATTGGTGTTAAATCGTACAGCTAAGCAACAGTTTGGTGACTGATGGGATAATATGTAAGTACTATATGTTCAATGTAAGAACACTGACATTATAAATTTCTATTATAAAACATACCTATTTTAGTGGCATATATGAAAAAATGTTTAGAACTGAATATGTATCACACTAATGATCATATACTGAAATTAGTTTCAGTGAATCATGAAAGAGAAAATACTTCTGGAAGTTTTTAAATATTTTTCTCACATGTGCACAGCAGCAGTTCCAAAAAGATGTGTTTTAACTAAACACTGGTCACGTTATGAACTGATTAAAAAAAAAAAAAAAAAGTGGGATTGTTTCAAAAAAAAAAAAAAATATTAAGCCAAAGATAAAATAACTAGTCTCAAACTGGAATAGTGAGACTTTATTTCATACATTAATCTTAGAAGGATGATATATTAATATAAACATACAGAATCCTATTTTAAAGAGAAAACTGCACATACTCACTTTATATTTCAAAATGTCTTGCTTGTGAGGAAAATGTAAAGGTCCAATATACTTGTGAACATACTGACTTTCTAAGCCCTTTTTGAACAAAGTGTTAGCTATGATATCACTAACAAAATTCTTCCCAGTTCCAGTCCATCCATGGAAAGACAGGACCAATGCTTTTGGTGGATTCTTCTTTTTTACATGACCTGCTATAGCCTTTGGAATAACAAACTTCACCAAATGTTGTCCAAAAAGTTTACTGTTCAACTCACTTTCTAAAGCTAAATAATGGGAGCATGTTATTGGACAAGTGAAACACATATATAATCATAAAAGATTTTTTAAAAAATATCAATTAATCAATACTGTATTCCCCTTGCATCTTTTCCCCTAGCTTTTTAGCAAAAGATTCAGAAAATTAACAAAATATTTGCATAATTTCCTCCTTCCTCTATCATATATAGTTTTTCGCTCTAAAGGTTAGTTTATTGGTAGACCCTTGATTATTTTTTATCTTTATTCAATATATTCAACTTGTTTCTACATTTTGCATTCGCATTTCATTCATTTTATTTTCCATTGGATTTATTATATGAAAGATATTTTGTGCAGATTCTTCTTTAAGCTGCTTGGCCATGGTAGGTAATGTGACATTAAAGAAACTTTCCTAACATGTGATTTCACTTTACTTCTGTTATTTACATTCCAGCTCTTTGTAGCGTTATCTACTCCTAGTTGTTCGATATTTCGAAATCCAGGTCTTTTGCTCATCCCCCTTCTTCATTTTTCTGATGTACCTTTTAGGAACAGCAGTAAAGACTCATTCATAAGTGTTTTGGGGGCATTGAGGACTTACAAGGTAACCGAGTTGGCTCAATTGCCATCAGATACTGTAATGTTAATACTATTATGTATTCTTATTGGAATGTAGGTTTCTTTTGAAGAAATAATATTGTGATAGTGACCAGTTACCTATGGCTACTTTTCATTTGTCATGTTTTTATTGTAACCCTTCATTTGGAAATTAAATTACTTTCACAATTTTTTTTCTTTCTGATTTAAAGATAATAAAATTAATAAAAAGGAGAAAATATGCTAGAAAATATAATAGATACTTAATACCACTTGAATAATACTTTGATTGCGATTAATAATCACTCCTTACAAAATGGATTTTTTTTTACCTCACAGCATGCGGAGGCAATATTATGAAATGAAATCATACTTACGTATTATCCCATCAACTATGAAACAGTAGCCAGGTATAGCAATTTAGCTCCAATTATGGATAAACGTGATCTAGAAAAACAGCCATAACATGTGCACTTTCCTTAGATGTAAACCTGATATATCCTCAGCAAACCACATTTCGTTTTTATCAACAGGGATTTAAATTAACTTTTCTTGCTGTATTTCTTTCTTGCATTTAAAAAAATATTATTCAAATTTGGGTCTTCCCTTCTACAGAATAAAAAGGATGGATTATTTTCAAAGTTATGGGATTGTACCATTAATACGGCATGTATTAATGGAAATGATACAGTCAGCTGAACATGGCTGACAAATTAGTTATAGATAGGAACAATTAGCTGTGGGAAGTTTGTACTAATGGCATTGTAAACAGAACTCCCACTAAAACAGAAATACCTAACAAAATTATAGAAATTGACAAAAACCATTTCATTAAAAAGCAAAAAAACAACACAAGCCAAATACTGATTGTTCATTAAATAAAGAGGTGTCCATTCTTTCAGAATTTCATAAGAATGATTGACACAACTCTGGTGGGATCTTCACCAAATTTCAAGAACCGATATCTGTCAGCTTTTACAGTCGATGGGATAAAATGCAAGTACCATTGAAATTGCTAATTTAAATTATGCACTTAAACACATAATCTGATAACATAGCTATTTTGTCACTTAATACTCTAGATACACAATTTTGTTCTTAGCTCATTAAAAATGGATTTTCTGCTATTTTTATATTAGTATAATGCAAAATGGTATTGGAAAACAGTTACGATACTCTTCTGCGTAAAATCTTAGTATACAGTAAAGCCTGGGTGCGATTTTGAGACCCGTTTACTGCTCATAATAATGGTGCCAAAGCGTGTGTGTACCATATACTAGGATTAAACCCTCTTCTGTTATCAGGATCAGATTCAGAAATGTTTGTGCGTAGATATGGATTCAGAAATGTATTGTTACGAAATGTACAGATGCGGTAAGATGGCTTCCCCGCAAAGCAATTTTAGAGTTGCCTTAATTGGCAAGAGAAAGCACGGTTGCCACATTTGGCGAGAAATCGCCCATTTGGCAACAAAATTGGTGATATACCATGGACGGATAGAGAACTTTCTGGAAAAAAATTCTTACCAGTTTAGCCCAGAATATTCTCGAACACAAGCCGAAAGCTATATAAACCTGCTGGTTCGCAGTCAGTGAGTGTGTGTCTTGCATAGAGTGCGAGAGTGTGTGTGCCTCATCTAGCGAGCTGATAAGTCAGTCATTGAGCGAGTGTCTCGAAGTCTAGCGCCGAGTTGGTCGTCGAGTGCATTGAGAGAGCCTTTTAGTGTATCGTGAGTTAGTGCATTGTCGAGTTTTGTCTTAGACTGTGCTGAATCGAGAGCTATACTCTTGTGCTCTGAGTGTCGTCGAGTGCATTGCAAGTTGTAGCATGGAGAGTCTAGAGAGCCCGTGGAGTTCCGAGAACAACCAAGCAGAGTCGGGAGCTGTACTCTGGTGCTTTGCAGTGAAGCTGTCTCCCCCATGATAACCTGAAGACTGTGTAGCTGATTGTGTCAGCATGTTTATAGTAGTTCATCGACGACTTTTAAACGTGTTTTGGAGCTGTCCTGACAATATTGGCTAATAGTATATTTCAATACAAGTAGTGTCGTCATTATTCGCTCCAAATCCATACGAATGTGAAGGAAAAGAAAATAACGTAACAACTGGTGTCAGAAGTGGGATTAGCGTGTGAATGCCAGTGACCTGCCTGTAGAGGAATGCCATGACGGAGGAGATGAAGAGTTTGATGGACATTTTAGCCAAGATAAAAGTCGGATATGAAGAGATGAGGGCTGAGATCAAAGCCGGACTGAAGAAGATCAAAGCCATACTGGAAGAGAAGAACGCCGGACGAGAAGAATTAAATGTCAGGAAAAAAAAGTTGTGAAAGCAACTCTCACACAACAAGTGGAGTTTACAGGAGATATTGAAGGCATAAAAGACGATATGGAAATAAGAAAAGTGGCAGTTGAAGAATCAAAGGATGAAGAAATGAAGGAAGTAGCTAATGAACTGCCTGAGAAAGATTCTGAAATGAAGGATGAAATATCTAACGAGATGAAAGACAGAGAACGAAAACGTGAAGAAATAAAAGACGGGAAGGAAGATTTTGATTCTCATGTGCCTGAAGTAGAGATAGAAGAAAGTGACAATGCGACTGTCAAGTTCGTACAAACTGATAGTGAAGTTATGAAAATGCAAGCAGCAAGTGTTGAACCGTCTGAAAGTGCATGTGATGCAGAGATGGGAGAAGCTGATGTACAGCTTAAACAGTGTACTCCAGTATTGCAAGAAAATCCACCCACCTCGCAAATTATGTGTGCGTCTCATAGTGCAGATTTCGCAGGCAAGGACTTGATTCTTAACCCGGATACTTCCGCTTGTAAAGGATCGGATTCTATTCGCGACCCTGGTGCAAACATTGGAACTGATTCCCAGGAAACGAAGGAAAATAAGCATGTACCATCTGCTAAAAATACCGAGGTGAATTGTATACATGATGCGAATAAACCACAGAGTGGTGAACAAACTGTTCCAGATCTTCCTGCAGATGAAAAGTCTGAAAGGAGTGAATCTTCAGACTGTGATGTGCAAAACAGGAATGCATTTAAGAACTGTAGTGGAAAAGTATTTGACCCGGGTATATTCTAATGAAAAGACTCCGACTGAAATTCATTCAGAACTTTAATTTGTATAATTTGAAATTGTTATGTGTTTAATTTGTGTATTTGTACATAGTGTAAATATTTGTTTCTTTAGTTATGTTATTTGTTTGTTTTATTATGTTTTGTTTCTATCGAATTATGCTTCTGACCAAGGCTTGTACTGCCCAGGACGTTCAGTCCTTGAGAGGGGGCAGTGTTATGAAACGTACAGGCGCGGTGAGATGGCTTTCCCACAAAGCAGTTTAGGGTTGCCATAAAATGGCAAGGGAAGTCAGGGTTGTCATATTTGGAGAGAAAATTGGCGATATACCATATATGGATGGAGAACCTTTTGGAAAAAATTCTTACCGGTTTAGCCCAGAATATGCTCGAACACAAGCCGAAAGCTATATAAACCCTGCTGGTCTGCAGTCAGTGAGTGTGTGTCTTGCATAGAGTGCGAGAGTGTGTGTGCCTTGTCTAGCTAGCTGATAGTCAGTCATTGAGCGAGTGACTCGAAGTTTAGCGTCGAGTTGGTCGTCGAGTGCATCGAGAGAGCCTTTTAGTGTATCGTCGAGTTTTGTCTTAGACTGTGCTGAGTCGAGAGCTATACTCTTGTGCTCTGTGTGTTGTCGAGTGCATTGCGAGTTGTAGCATGGAGAGTTTAGAGAGTACGTGGATTTTTGAGAACAACCAAGCAGAGTCAGTGAGCTGTACTCTGGTGCTTTGCAGTGAAGCTGTCTCCACCGTGATAACCTGAAGGCTGTGTAGCTGATCGTGTCAGCGTGTTTATAGTAGTTCATTGACGACTTTTAAATGTGTTTTGGAGCTGTTCTGACAATACTGGCTAATAAAGTGTGTTTTGATACAAGTAGTATCATCATTATTCACTCCAAATCCATACGAACCCCGTGCGAACGTGAAGGAAAAGAAAATGAGGTACGTTTCCATTTCGCCTGTGCAAATCTCGCTAAGCAGATTTTATTGGCAACAACATACAGTATACACATAAAAAAAAAAGCTGATAAATGTTAGTTCTAAGAATTTTGTATTTTGAAGGCATGAATATTTTAATATCGTTTTTAAAATTTTGTAAAAAACCAATAAATAAAGACAATAATTTAAGAATTTACTATGGTTTCACGGTTCAAGATTCATATAACGTCATTCCAAGTGATCTCATCTCACGTAAACTAAGCTACGCAGTAATTATCTGCATTAATTTCAAGTTAAATCTTAATTTGGAATAAAAGTTTAAATGCAAGAATTATTTCAATCCGTAGGAAAAGCTTACACAGAAATTATGTAGAACCGCAATGCTTTACTTCGCTAGTGTATTCTCATTAGAACTGATGACCCTTGACTTTGCCTTTTTCTATATTTTTGCCTTCAGGTGAGCGGTGTGATTGCATCCTAATTGATTTAATTCCAGCGAATGATCTTAGGGCATAAAATAGAACTATCTGGTAAAAATTCTATGTACTGTAATTTCCGGAAGAAACGCTGCGGCGTTTACGTGTTTAAAACTTAAATTTTCAGCGGGTGCGGCGTTTAGGTGCACTAAAAATAAAATATTTCCTATGATGGTCATTGTACATAGTTTGGATGGCCTTGTCATTGTGCATAGACTGGTGCTGTTCCTACACAAAAGACCACTCATTTGCTTTTTGCGAACGTTATTTTGTTTACATTCTTTCCCTTGAACGGACCTACATGCCTTATTCACCCTAAACGAGATCTCAGAACAATAACATTCTTCCCCCTTTCAAATCAACATTCTCATCAGTTTGAATAGTCTCTCTCCTCTGTCATTCGATGAATCTTCCAGGAAACATCCTCTCTCCACACCTGCCTTTTCTGCAATTTTTTTCAAAGGCGGACACGACTCCACCTGCCTTGCAATAACGAAATCTGACGTATTTCCAATTCAGCATGAATTTCTTGGCATTCTGGCAAATACAGATCCCATCAGTTTGGGTACAAGTACTTGTTGGATAGTTTTTAAGTAAGAAGGGAGCGGAAAATTTTTGAAAATGTCTCTAAACGGCCCAGAAGCTATACATTTCTTACCTTTAATTTATTTTTTAGTTATGGTTTCATTTCATGCATTTTTCTTAACTGGTATGTTATATATCAGGACTTAGGTTGAGTTTTTGCATCTATACGGCCCACGACGATGTCACACGCAATTTAATCTATTGCGGCGTTTCTGTGTAATTTTAATTTTTTTCCCGCCATTTTTCTCGAGTGCGGTGTTTACGCTGATGCGGCCTTTCTTCCGGAAATTACAGTAATTGTATGCCAGTATTGAAAGAAACAATCAATCTGATAAGAAATGGCTGCAACTTGTTTTGAAAATGAGGCGTAAAAGGTTACCAGCGAGGATATTCCGTTTGGCATCAGTTGTACCATTATTGGCGACTTTATAGCCTGCAAAATGGAAAAGTATCGAAAATGACATAACAAGTGGTGTCAGAAGAAAAAAAAAAGTAACAGTATATATATATTGATGTTATGTGTTTACCTATGCATGCATATATGTACATACATAGGTATGTATGTGTATACACGCACATACATAGACACATGTCTGAATCCGGTCCCAATAATAGAAAGTATCACAATTATTAATGAAAATTTACATCACATATGGCATACACAGAATATACACTGTAAAAGAAATATTAATGTAAGATACGCAATTTTTTCCAAATTACGATTCGAAATCTTCCTTTGTTTTGTTTTGGATGTACAGCACGTATTTTTGGCGATCTCGCCGCTGAAGATTTTATTTCAAAATAAATGATGTGGTAATAAAAGAAAGCTGTATCTCCATTTACTGTTCTTAAATCTTAGCACAATTAAAACGTAGCATTACCATTTAAATCAACAGCAATCCAGTTTTTGTCGCAACATTCTTCATATTTGCAGTACAAATACGCAAATCCAGCAAATCCAGCAATTCCAGCAAATCCACCAATAGTACCTAATGCAGTAATAGGATCCACTACACACTGGCTAACATTTAAAAAAATTACAATAAAAATTAAACATTTTATCAGTACTGGGTACATTTTCATGCGTTTAGATGCAAATAAACGGCCGATTTAATGAAAGTTGTAATCGATTACATTTAGCAATCCCTTACAAATATCCACTCATTTATTGAAAGATAATTCAAGACTAAATTCCTACGGTCTTAATGGTGCATTGACACGCATTATATCTATGATGTAGCATAACTTTAAGTCCACTATATTACAATGACATGTAGATAATGCTACAGCAATTCATCAGAACTCCCAAAAACATTACAAACGAGATTGGCGGGGAACTCTAATATTAAAACAAAAACAATGGCCACATGTTGCCATTCCTTTCGGTGAAGTATGCACTGAATCTAGGCCACTGAATCCAACAATTGAGAATGGTGTACTAAAAAAAAAAAAAAGTATACACCTGGGTACCTGAGCCGAAGGTCTTACCCTTATTAAACAAAATTCAAAGATTACTAATTATGTGAACATTAACATAAAGAAAATTTCTAAATTAAAAAAAGAGCTATATGAAGAGATTTAAGTAACAAGTTACATGATAAATTTTGTCACAGGTAAGTCGTTAAATTTTAAGAAAAAGGTAATAAAGTAATGATTAAGTTAATCATTCAGATTATTTTATTTGTTAAAAGTGAATATAAAATAAAAACCAGAGGGAAAGGAAAATCTTTAAAATATTCTTCAGCGCGCAGAAAGATATTGTTCAGTTAATATGTTCCGTACACAGAGCAAAAAAAAAAAAAAAAAAGAAAAAAGTGATTTAACTGAATTTACAGAAAAGTGAGTTTAAATAACTGGCAACATTGATTTATGATATCAAGGCGCTTTCCTTTAATATATTTATGTCATTTGTGAATGGAAAAAACAAGTTGTAAAAAAGTACAGTTGTTTTCTGAGAAGATAATTTTTCAGTTAATATGCCTTTGCTTTAAAAGAGGCAGAGAACATTATATGAGTAAGGTTTTGATATGATGCGAATTTTAACTTGGAAAACGTGTTTAATTGGCGCTTTTTTAACAAACTTTGTTATAGGCTTTATTATGTGGTTGAATTTAGACAAGAACTGTAATTGTTCTAATTTTCATGAAAAGTATACATCATATATTCATGCCGGGAATCAAAAACATACATTAGAAATTAGTAGCAGTAATGATTCTGACGTGCAATTATCAAGTAAAGCACTCATTCTTGTACGTGAATTTGAATATTTTGAAAACGATCTGCCAGATACTGTAAAATCTATTAGAAATATTCTACCAACAATAAAAATTTTAATTATATCAGATAAAATTCCATATCCGCCATTACAGCTTCCTGTCGGAAATGATGAAAATATTCATATAATTAATTTAAAACCATATGTAGGGAGATCTTTCGAATATACTCAACCGTTTAATTTAATTGATAAAGAACATGTTTTCATTGTGCCAGATTCTTTAAGAATGGAAAATCTCTCTCAAATGATTTCAATGATGGAGGTCCATAATAAAAACCCTAAAATTATTATTGCTGCACCCATTGAGGGTGAAAACTTGAGTTGTTTGTCTCTCAATGTCAGCCTTCGTCACTGGACTATCAAGTATGGAATAAATACCGCAGAAAGATACTGTAATGTTCTTGAAGGTATGCATGTTGTTTTAGTTACAAAATCTCTGTTGTTACAATTTGGATATCCTTTCTCAAGACCATTTACAACTTCTCTTTATATACAAGCATCGCAGCAAAAAATTAAGGTAATAGGTGTTTTTGTTTTCCCCAGATTGCATAGAGTATTAATGAATGTGTCATGTAAGCTGTAATGAATATTGTTTTCAGTTTCTTTAATCCATATGCAGGGCTTAATTTCTAAAGAAGCAAAAATAAATCAAATAATTAAATTAATTTTAACTTTTTAATAAAGTGTAAAGATATAAATAAAAATTCAATTAACGATAAATAGTTAAAAATATAACCATGGTTTAAATTATATGGGCTTTAGCTGAAATTACAATTTCATTCAAAAACTAAGAAACAGTTTAGCTGGGCTCTGGGTTCAGCTTAAGCTCTGAATGTATGTCTAATTTACTATTTCAGTGGATGATAGAATCCCTAGTGTGTCTCAGCTCACCTATAAAAAACAGTTAAAGTGGCACTAGTAAGAGTAGAGAGAATGCTAGAAACAGTAGGAAAGTATGGGTGAAAATTTTAATAGAAATGTGTAAGCATGAAAACAGGATCACAGTCCTCTGCTTATATAATTATAGTTGTTAAGCAGAATTTGATGGGATAGAAATCTGGCCTGAATTCGAATATGGGATGTCGCTAGCATTAGATGTGCTGGGCCACAATTGTCTTTCTCGTTCTTTTGGGAACGAAACGTTTACATGTCATTATAAATTCATTAAACTTCCTGGAGAAAAAGTCTTTCAACATGTGAGTGGGAGCTTTACTTTCCTTAAAAATCTGAACCTCCATTCAAAAAGTTGGTCCCCAGGGAAAGATAGGCATGTTTTCAGAAGTTAGAATTGATTTTTAAAGCTTAGTTATTGTTAAAATAAAATTTTTTGTTGAAATGTTGGTTCAAATGCATAAAAGAAGTACCCAAATCCTCTTATTTAAGGCTGCGTTGCACTTATTTATCTCAAAAATTTAGAAGTATCAGTGCTGGGCTCTCCTGCAATTTAATCTCTGCCCTTTATGTCTACAATGCAAATATATATCACCAATTTTAAACATGCATAGTGAAAAAAAGGCCCTCTTTTCTATTTTTCTTGAATATAATTCCATGCTGTCTGTTTTTCATACTCTTCCATCCTACCTTTTTTCACTGAATGTAAATGTTCCATTTCCACAAATAATAATAAAATGACTTAACCCTTTGTGGCTCAGTGTTCCACAACATGGAACACCCAAATTGAATCGCTTCTGAAACTTTCAAATTCAACCGTAAATAGATAAAAATGCTTTTATAATATACTTTGAACTTTTCTTTCAAACAGTAAATAGCAGCATATCACAAGGAGATGCAGAATTTTCATTTATTATGTGTTATTAAAATCCACTTTATTTCAAGTAATTTTCTCTATTTTTTTAATGATATAAAACATTTTATTTGGAAAAAAAATTAGGCATAATTTTGCTAGCTGTACTCCAAATTATTTGTTCTATATTTTTTTTAATCTTTCATACAAAAACCATACGCAGAATCATTGAATGAAACCGGGTGTTCCATTAGCGGGAACACTGCACCTTTAGCGATCTTATGCTGTTACGAATCAGAACATCTGTTGTTTACGTTTTCTGTTTCCGTTGTTTTGGGGAGAAATGAATTCAAACAAAGCAGTATTGAGGGGTGAGGTGTGTTTTGTTTTATGAAAGGCCTAATATTGGCATCTCGAATTTTTTTGGAGTAGTTTTTTAGGCGGGAATTTTATTAGTAGCTTGACTCATCTTTACTTAGACCTGAGTGAATTTTTTGCTGTCGCATTTTAGTCTCATTCCCGTTTATTTTCAATAATTGTGTAGATATTTTTCGTGTATGTATATATTATAGGCTTATTTTTCTTTATTGTTAATATTAATCATAGTTAATTTTCTTCTTATTAATTTTCTATAAATAGCGCGGAGAAGTCTAACTCTTTCCGAAAATTGGTAAATATTTTTGTATGTAGGACTTGTGTATAAAGATATTTATCTCATTTATCCGTATATATTCAAGAATATTGTGTATATCCAGGAAACTATGTATACAGCCATAATACAGAGTTTTTTCATTCTTATACTAACGCTTCTACTCATTTTCGTGCTTCACTGCAATGCTCGCTTAGTCGCACTTTTAAAAGCTCTGGCGGCGCACTGTTCCACATCATGGAACACCCACAGAATTAAAAGGGTAAGTGCAATTTTTGCAAAATTTTACCTGTATACTCCTTTAGGACTAAATAGACTGCATACAACCTTTTTTGTTGAAATTCCGATGTTAACGTATAGTGCGCCACAAAGGGTTAAGGGTGCCCTTTGGATTATCGTGAAGTTTTTGTTTCACTTATAGGAAACCCTATTATGACGTGATTGAGGTGAATTTGACCGATAAGAAAATATTTGTTGGATGTCAGTTAGGAAGTATGTCGCATATTGTATACTGACCATAAAAAATGGCTGCTGATGGTACAGAATGAAAGAGCGGAAGGTGTTTTTTTTTTAAGTGGTTGAAACAGAAAGATCATTCAGATGGGTTTGTCACAAAAAAGGTTGGTAAAAGTATACTTACGCGTACCCCTTGGTGAAAACTGGCAGTACATGGATACCGAGTTTGTGCAATTCTTTGACGTGTTATTTTGTCTTTGTGTAGCGACATTGCACAAACTTGGTATCCATGTACACATTGACCTATTTTCACTTTAAAAAATCACAGAATTGCACAAGCTAGGCATTGTGCCCATTATCCATGTACACATCAACCTATTTTCACTTGAGGAAAGTTTTTAAATGCTGTTAAGGAATTTTGTATACGATGAACTAAAGACATGAAAATTTCAAAATAAGGTAAGTGGATATTTCCTTTGTGTAGTGTTTAGATGTTATAAGATGAATTTCCTATTTTATGTTATTTCATTGTTTGATTTAAAATGTAGTTTACTGAGATTATATATTTTTTTGTTTGGCTCTAGTGTAAAACTGGGTGCTCCTTTGACTTTTAAAGTGAAAATAGATCGATGTCAAGAGACAAAGTCAAGAGAGTGCACAGTGCCGAGTTTGTGCAATTCTCTGATGTTTTTTTAAGTGAAAATAGGTCTATGTATACATGGATATCGAGTTTGTGCAATTCTAAAATCACCATTACACAAAGCCAAAATAACAAGTCAAAGAATTACATAAATTCGGTGTCCATGTACCGTCAGTTTTTACCCTCCCTCCTTTACACATGCCTTCGTAATTTAGTTGGAAGCATACTCGATGCCTATTCGAAAGGTCCAGGGTCCGAGTCTCGGCGAGAGCATTCCTTATTTTTCATGTACAGTATAAAGTCTTTAATCCGGATTCGTCGGGACTTTGCCGATTCCGGATTAGGAATTTTTCCGGATTATAGATCATCAATTTAAATCTGGTAAGATGGCATGCGGAAATTATAAAATTAAAAATATGAAACCGTAATTAAGACACAATAACACGCCGAATAAATACTAATTCAGAAGTCAAACAACAAAAATTTTGTGAATATAACGCTGATTTTTGTTGTTTGACTTCTGAATTAGTATGAAACCGTAATTTATAAATAAAGAGCAATTATGATCTAAAGGGTATCAAAATTACACAAAAAAAAAAAAAAAAAAAAAAAGCTTAATATTATTGTTTACTTTATTAAACATTTCTTTCAATGTAAGTTGTTCAAGTTGCTTCGTTTTATGTGCTAATACTTTCTCTTTAATTCTATAAACAGACATAATTTTTCTTGTTCAGTTACAAAGTTCCGCTGTTCAAGTCCTGTAATTGCTGTGTCGAGAATACCGACTAACTTGTCAATTGAAATTTTCACTAACCTCTCTGTCACTTTCTTTATGCCTTTATCCATTTTTCGCAGCAATTCCACTTTTTGTTAAAAGACATTTCTATCAAACATATCTATCATTCAAAGCGAAACATGCTTTCGCTTTGTAGATCTTTTGGCAGCTCTAGAATCGGAAACTCTTTTTGACATAATGGAAAGTTCAAGTTTAATTTTTATAAAATTGCTCTAACAGTCTGCAAAAAGTAATAAGCCGGATCCAGTTAGAAGATTAAGAAACAACGCAATCTGCAACATTAACTGAAATAGATAATTTTAGCCTAGCTTATACCGTCCGTTATACATTAAACGCGCATGCGTAGAAAGTTTGTAGCTTTGAGGTCCGGATTAAAGACTTTGTACTGTATAACCTAATGATTCTGTAAATGACACCCAAATTTTCTGCATGCCTTTGTGGTGTAATTGGAAATATATGAGACGCATATTTGAGAAGTCCAGGGTTTGAGTCCCAACGAGGGCATTGCTAATTTTTCATGTCTCCTGCTTCAGAATAACCTAATACTACAATATTTTATTTTATTGACATGTCCTTAGGTCTGAAGAAACTCGGAATACTGTTATTACAAAAGCAAATTATTTCATAAGAATATTTGGCCAAATTTAGATATAATCCTATTTTTTCACCAACTTGGATTTCTATTCGCTAAATGTCAGATAATGCGCCAATTATGATGAAAATGCAGACATTCCCAATAGGATACAGGTAGGCAGGAGAATCTACTCTTTTGCATTATGCATTTACTACAGCTCTTTACATTTTTCATTGTTTCTATAATTCATCTTTTATTTAATTATTTTTCTTTATCCATACCTGCCAACCTCTAAAGATAAAAATTCAGAAGATATCTCCCCCAAATTCAGAAGATTTCTCCAAAATTCAGAAGAACACGAAGAATTAATATCATGCTTTGATATTAAAAAAATAACAATTTGTACAAATAGAAAAAAGAAAATCGTACTTGCATTAGTAAATCTCAATTAGTAGTAACTAAAAAATTTATTAGGAAACATAAAACAAGAACTTAATGTTACACAAAAAAATTATTGCAATGAATTTAGAGTGCATTTTTTGGCTTTAGCCAAAAATTCTTTGGAAAATTTCCTTCATAACAATTAGTTTCCTCATAACATTTAGCAATTAAAATGTTTTCTAGAGTTTTTGGTGAAATTGAAGAATGAAACATAGTT